CTAGAGGTGGTTCATTTATGAGGATACTGTGCAAATTACAGTATATTCTGTGAAGCGCTTTGGGACGTCCTCCCGACGTGAAATGTGCTATATCAAATGCAAGGATTATTTATTATTATTAAATGTATTTGTCCAGTTTACTACTTTGTTTGACAGAATCAGGCTCAACAGAAGGGAGACTTGGTGATTTCCAACCAAATCACAATTCTGGGGCTGTAAAGTGCAAGGACAGTGTCGTTTATAAGTGAACAGGGCAGCCGATTTGCACACAACAATGTCCCACAAACAGCCATGAAGTGAATGATCAATTCTATTTGGGGGGTCCTTGGCCAGGACACCAATGGTACCAGCAATTGAATTGTGTCCATTCTCTGGCACATTGTTAATGAACGAGAAACATTATATTTTAACAGTATGAATAACAGAACATTGATTTACCCATCCACCTATCTATGGAATATGTTTAATCAAATCAATGTTGCCAATGTCATATAAATAGGTTCAGCTGTATTTGCTGGACTCAAGTAAAAGTATCCTTCCTTGGCTAGTCAGCTGTAGGCAGCTATTAAGGAGATTACCATTGTTCAAATGTCTTCCTCTCCAAGGAGGAGAAAAGAAATCACAGAATAAAATAGATCTGAAAGAATTTTTTTGCAGGTTTAGCCTAATGCATAAATTATTTATGACTCACTGAAGATGATTTTAAACAATAGAGATTATCATACCATTCCAATTGCAAAACTGGATAAATCAGACGCTGTTTGACCAGAATAAAAATCTCAGAACAGCAGAACATTACACAACAGCTAAGACACAATTTTACTAGTTTGATTGCACTTACCATGGAAATTTCAGAGCAGAATGAGCCAATTGGCCTGCTGTACCTATGTCATGCCTGTTTTAAGTCTCACCCAGAGAAATTGAAGTTTTATTGACAGCTGCCCAGAGTAAAAATTGAATTAATTCCATTGAGCTTGAAGAAATTTGCTATTGATTGAGCCAAAAACAAAAAAAGGCTTTAACTTTGGCAGTGTTTTCTCAAAATCCTTGTCTTATTAATTTATCATGCAGCAAGTGGCATTCTTGTGAAGTTGTGTTTGAGATATATTTCAGATAAAAGGATGAATGTAGGGGCAGATAGAATTATTTGAAGATATGGATAATTGAACCTTTTGGCTATAATTGGATCTTAATGGAGATACAATGAACCATTTAGTGGAAACCGATTTGTATCTTCAGATTGTATTACTGTTAGAAGAATAGGGTGTAAGTGTGCCACAATTAACAGATAACAATAGAAGTCTCTGAAAAAGGCTGGAAAACACATGATTATTAGTGAGATAATGCAGAATGGATTCTGCAAAGAGATGGTAATTAAGCACACACTGTGAGCAAAATCTATGTACGAATATTTTTTTCTTGCACTCTGGAGATTGCTTCCGTATCAAAGGTTTTAGATAGATTCAAGGTGACCTATGTTCAAAGTTACTGCTATATTGAAATTTTGAGTAATTTACTTTAATGTCTTGCTTCCATGCTCCGCTTTTGATGATTTTTTTAAGATCAGAGAAAATGGCAAAATGAAGAAAATTATGAATTAATAGGAAAATAAATATCCTACAATATTTAGATTTATTAGATCAAGTTGTTATCTACTCGTGTTATAATTTTTGTAGCGTTCTAACCAGAACCTGTTTGTATCACTTTTATATTAATACTGTATAATAATAATCCTTCCTTACATTTCACATTGGTAGGACTTCTCAAAGTGCTTCACAAGATATGGATAATTAAACCTTTTGCCTATAATTGGATCTAGATTTAAGGGTATCTATATCTTCTTATCCAAAGTGCAACCAATGAAATCTGGACAAGATGTATTTTCTTGTCTACCTTGTTCAAAATTTGCCTTGGATCTAAGAATATATAAGGGAGATAACATATGTCAAAATCATCAGGGCATCCAGCCTAAGGTTCAGAAATCTTCTTAACAGTCTGTGAATTCATGTGAATTGACAAATATTGCAACAGTCTGGGCCTGTTAAAGACCTCTTTCCCCCCGTTCAAGTCCCGCCTGAAGACTTTCCTCTTCAAATGCACTTATGGCTATCTCCCCACTCCCCCCGGCTCGGAGTCAGGCTTCACCACTGTTAAGCTCTGAGAGGCTACCCTGCATGGAGGGCACTATATAAGTGCAAGTTGTTGTTGTTGGTGTTGTCATGATGGCGATATTTTTAATACGAATTATGCAAACCCAGTTACTCATCTTTTTGATGATTCTCTGAAGGTCAAGTACACTTTCTATGAAAGGAATACATAAAACTTCTCATAAGTGGATGAACATTTTGAATGAAGTAAGAGATATGGAGGACAATATCATTAATATATATTCAACAAGAAGAAAAGTAAACCAGCCTATTAGTCAGATCAGTAGTGCTTGAACACAGTTGGAGCAGAAACTAAATTCTATAACAGTGATTTGGTAACTTTTATTTCAAAGTGATAAAAGTGGATGTGCTGGAGTTCATGAGAAGAAACATAGATAGATGGTTGTACCAGTAGATTTGAGGTGCGTTTGACCAATCATTTTCTCCCGGATCTTTGGAGTGAAACAATTTCTGGACCATTCCATGCATGGCTTTGTTTTCTATTTCAGACACACCAAATCTAAATTTGAGTTTAATGAATTAACATATTAGTGAGGCATAGAAGGCAAGATGAAAGGAAAAAGAGATGAAACGTACACTGGAAAATAGAGAAATGAGCTTTGCAGTAAGCTTTGCCTGTGAAGGAATGTCACAATTGTGCATTGAATTTCTGATGCACTTTTGAAGATTTCTCTCTGCTACTTCTCTAGTGCCTTTGTGCTTCCTACAGCAATCTCAGCTTCATCTGATCTACATAGCTTCAAAGTCTCGAAAGCTTTCTGCCTCCCTTAGTATGTTGATCACACAGGCTACTTGAAGGTATGTTGCTTTGCAACTGACTACCCGCAGGAGATAGCAGCCACGTCAAGCCTGATTTGCTGCTGTTGCTGATGTACAACCCTTCCCTTGTTTACCAGCGTCGTGAGGACGAATGCTCTCAAACTAGTTCCCTACATTAAGCATTTGCTGCTGGTTGCCCAGTAAACTGTTTGCTCAGCAGGTACTGAAGTGACACTTGGTTGCAGGACCTCCTCAATGTATCTCCTTGGGCAGCACCTGACGTCACAGACTAGTTCACTTTCCCAGGAGGGATGCAAACAGCAAGTGTCTGAGCAAAGGAGAGGAGTCTCCCCCTCTCCCCCATCCCCCCACCCACCCCCTGTGTCACACACTAAACACCCCACATGGAGACATTCAACCAACTTGTCAAGGAGCAGGAGAATGCTCAGATTCGTTTGTTTCACTTAAAAAAAAAGCAACAACAGAAGGTGACACCAGGAACTCTCTCTCCCCCTTTCCTTCCCTTCCCAACACTTGCATTCGAGTGCTCCTTGGGATTAAAGCTGCCCAGTTTGCAAACTTCCACAAATGTGGAGATGAACTGACTTTCTTTGTCGTTTTTTTTTCCTTGAGCGTGAGAGTGTGTGTGAGAAGAGTGTGTGAGTGTGTGCAACCAGATGACTTGTGTGTACTTGCAGATCGTGCATCTTTGCAAATTGGTTTTTTTCTGGCTAAAAAAAAAAGAGAGGAAAGAAAGAAGAAAAGATTGTGCCTTTTGGCACCTGTTAGATTGGCACTTTGCCTTGAGGAACCTTGTTCTCTCTCGCTCTCTCTCTCTCTCTTTCTTTCTTTCTCCTTCCCTCCCTCCCTCCCCATGTCCTCTCACTCATTCCCACCATCACCACACCACACCACCACAGGCTGGCGCGCTCAACTCTTTCTAACTGGAGCCCTGCACCCCCCCACCCCCCCCCCCTCCACCCTCCCTGACTGGCGCTTTGTCATCAACTTTTTTTTCTCTCTCTCTCTTTCTTTCTCTTTCTCTCTCTCTCTCTTCTTCTTCTTCTTCTTGTGCCCGTCACAGATCAGGTCAACTGCAGTTTAGCAGCAAGGAGCGGAAAGATGGCGATCCTGTAGATCTTGCACACACACACACACACACATACATACACAAACACACACACACATTTGCACACACAGATACATTTGCACACACAGATACATTTGCACACACAGATACATTTGCACACACACATTTGCACACACACACGTTTGCACACACAGATACATTTGCACACACAGATACGTTTGCACAAACCCCCCACACACACACACACATTCATGAGACAACTTTACTGAAGCCATCGAGCCAGAGAGAGAGGGAGAGAGGGAGTGAGGGAGGGAGACGCACACAGGGAGAGCAGAGCAGAGCAGCTGGGGCTGGGCTGGGCTGGGATCGCCACAGGAGGAGAAGGACATCCTGTAAGTGAATCCCGTCGGGGATATATATACATATATATATATATCTCTCTCTCTTCCATGATATAGATTTTTTTATATATATATATTAAAAAAAATAAATGACAATTAAAAAAAAAGTTCCTGCTGATCAATTAGTTTCGAGGGTCGGTCGCAAATCTGCAAATATATTTTGTTTAGATTTATTTGTGGCTTTGGTTTGTGTGGGGTTTTAAGTGTGTTTTTCTCTGGTGCTGGTGCTGGTGGTGGGTGGGTGGGTGGGGGGGGAATCCTTGCTCTTTGTTGTTGTTGTTGTTGTTGTTTGGTGACTGGTGGGTTGGAAAGGAAAGAGGAGAAAGAAAGAGGAGAGAGAGAGAGAGAGGTTGGGATCCACACGGTCTTTGCAAGGACTTGGGGGGGGGAGGGGGGGAGAGGGAGGACTGGGAACGTGCGGCTGAACCACACTCACATCTCCATTTAAACAAGGGAAGATCTCTCTGTGTGTCTCTCCACCTTCCCTCCCTCCCTCCCTCCTTCCTTCTCTCCACCTCCTCTCGCTCTCTTCCTCTCTCCACCTTCCCTCCCTCCCTCCCTCCCTCCTCCCTCCCTTGTGCATGTTGGGGGGGGGGGCAAGCCGGGTGTCTCGGCACGGAGATCTCTACAGGGACTTTGCTTCCAGAGAGAGGTGGGTTTTGTGTGCGTTTGTCTGTGTGGTGTTGGTGCTGCTGTTGCTTTCTCTTTTCTTTCTCTCTTCTCTCTCTGGAGGAGGACTGTGGTGGAGGATCTTTCTTTCTGGATCTCCTCTCTCTCTCTCTGGATCTCCTCACTCTCTGGATCTCCTCACTCTCTCTCTGGATCTCCTCACTCTCTCTCTCTGGATCTCCTCACTCTTTCTCTCTCTCTCTGGATCTCCTCTCTCTCTCTCTCTGGATCTCCTCTCTCTCTCTCTCTGGATCTCCTCTCTCTTTCTCCCTGGATCTCCTCTCTCTCTCTCTCTCTGGATCTGCTCTCTCTCTGGATCTCCTCTCTCTCTCTCTCTCTGGATCTGCTCTCTCTCTGGATCTCCTCTCTCTCTGGATCTCCCCTCTCTCTCTCTCTGGATCTCCTCTCTCTCTCTCTCTCTGGATCTTCTCTGGATCTCTGTCTCTCTCTCTCTCTCTTTGCTGTGAGTTGAGAGGAAAGTGTTGAGCTTTTCTTTCTCACTCACTCCCTCACTCTCTTTGCTCCAGAGAGAGAGAGAGAGAGAGGGGCAGAGGAGAAAGAAAGACACACACAGAAAGAGAGAGAGGGAGAGAGAGAGAAGCCATTGCAAAGAGGGTGCTTTGGTTTCAGGGGCAGGAAGGAGCTGGAGCTCCAGCAGTTCCCCTTCTCTCCATTCAGCTCCCCCTCGAGTTGCTGCTGTTGCAGCTGCTGTTGGTCCAAGTCTAGACACAAAGGCAGCGGCAAGAGCCAGGCTGGAAACCATTGCATTTCCTCATAGGCCACCAGCACACCAAACCCCTCTCCCTCCCTCCTCCTCCTCCTCTTGTGTTCTTCCCTTCTCTGCACCACTCACTCACTCACTCACCCGGGGGTGGCTTTTCTCCTCTCACAAGGTCTACCTCTTTCTTGACTTGGGAGGAGGAGGAGGAGGAGGGGAAGAGGCAAAGGAGAGGGGGAGTGGGGGGGGCTTTGTGGCTACCACAAGCTGTGCTTTGCAACATGAGGGACCATAGGAATGAGTCCCCCCCCCCCCGTCCCCCCCTGAGCTCGATGTGGATGTGAAGCCATTTTTGCGTGTGAGCAGTTGCTGTGGTGGTGGTGGGAGGGAGTGAGTTGTGCGTTGGAGGACCGTCTGCCTTTGGGGCTCTGGATGTGCTGCTGCCACTGGAAGCGCCAGAGCCTCCCCTCCCCTCCCCCTGGTGCTCACTCAGGTATAGGCCATGTCATTGTCCTTCCCTCACATTGCAGAAAATGGTGGAGAAAGAAAGAGCTTCAACCCTGACTTCTTGAGGAGACCGAGGTTTCTCTCTCTCTCTCTCTCTCTCTCCCCCTCACACCCCTCTCCTCCTCCTCCTTTTGGAAAAAGGAGAGGTTTCTTTTTTTTTTCTTTTTTGTTTTGGTAACTAATTTTTTTTTGAAGAGTCCCTCCCCCCTCCCCTCCCCTCCCCCCACCACCCCATGTTCAGGTTGGCATTTTAGGTGGTGGTGGTTGGTTTGGGTGGTGGTGGTGATCCATTCCTGGCCATCAGGTAGATGTGTTTAAAACGTGATGTTGGATGGTTTGAACGTGTGTTTTGGAGACATTTGTTGGAAGCCTTGGATGGAGTGCCTTCTGTTTTTGTCAAGTGATCTGCGGCGGTGCAGGAATAGTGGGACAACTCATCATGTAGGAGTTCTTAGATGTTTCTTGTGGGGCGAACCTCAAGGGCAGAGAAGCCTTTCCTTCTGGAGGATCTCTCAAGATCCAAAACAATATTTTGAGAACCTCATGAATGAATGAGTTGAATTTTTTTTAAAAAAAATCTGCTTCTGCTGCGCTCCCAACTACAGTTAAGCCCTGGTCCGCAGCTAGTTTGAGAATACGGTTCAGCTACTTCCAAGGTTTGGTAGAATTTATAGTGGTTTTTTTTAAAAAAATTTAAAACAATGTGCCATGAGGTTACTATCTCAATTAAGGTGCCCACTGGATGATGTATTGGAACATTTAAATGAAATACTTCTGTGTTTTTGTTGTTAATGGAAATTTTGTGTCTGAAGATTATCAATAATACAATTGAGTGAATTTTTTCCCAACTGCTGTATTTTTAGAACCAGGTGAAGGGTGCTATATAAATGCAAGTTGTTGTTGTTGATCATTTTCTTTAAGGAAGGATTGAAAATAATTCCGGAATATTCTGACGTAGACCTTCATGGTTATGACAGTATTTCAAAACGCACAAGTAAAAGCTAACTGAGAAACCCGTGGTCACCTATAAAAAAGACACGGCCTAAAATAAGATGCAGGTACCAAAAGGAATATACTTCTGTCATGTTCAAAGTTCTCCTTAGAGAGTGAAAGAGCTGAGTTTGACAGAATGGGGAGAAGGTTGTTTGTTGAGGAGCTTAGAGGTGTTGCTTCAATCTCGCAACTTCTCAGTTCCTTGTGATTTGCTAGAACGCTTCTTGAAATTCCAAAATCATCTGAATAAATTAATGTGAAAGGAAGCACCTGGTGTTGCCTGAATTATCTATTTTCATTCAGAAAGCAACATGGTCATTTAAAACTGGGGTTCTTGATGAGCAAACTTGGGCCTACTTGCCAACGATATCTTAATGTGTGAAATTAAAATGCTTTTGTAATTTGTGGATCAGGACTAGTTTGTCTTAATGGATACTGACCAAACGTGTTCAGGAATATTGGGAGTGTGTTTGTTCTACTGTAGTACGACTTTCACAATTTCAAATCATATGGTGGCCAAACGTTAATGGATGTAGGAGAGGAAACCCATCACACTATCAGCAAAGATTTGGAAATGGAAGTTGTCATGGACTTTCGAAAGGGAAGGCAAAGTTTTCCATTTGGCTGGCTTTACATTCGGATAACTCAAAATTTTGCAACAGCTGAATAGTTCTTCATTGAAGTATTGTAGACTACTTTCAGAGGACACGTTTATTTACTGCATGACTACACACTATATAGTAGAAGTTTGTAAATATCCAGTCAGTCAGGGAAAAGTAACAGTATGCAAAATAGCTAAGATGAAACCAAAACATTGTCATCCTTTTGAGTTAATGTTAATCTTTTGAGTTCAAAAGTAGCATGGAATTTTATAAATAACTAAACTGGTGGAGAAACAAGCTCACTGTTATTTGAAGCTTGGAACTTCTCTCCATTGAGTTTATTGGTGAAATTCTAGTGATTCTTGAACTAGAGTAGACCTTGAAAAGCACAGTGATTGTTTGAACTGAATCTCCAGTTTAGCTTTCTGAGGCCTGTTAATGGAAAGGGAACATTTTTGCATTTTCTTACCCATTGTTTTGGTTTGTTTTTGCTTGTTGGTTAAGGTCAATATTTTTGGATCTGGATCCAAACAAAAGTGTGGGGAAAAAAACAAGAGGGTAACTTATATTTCTGAATCTTGCAGAAAATGGAGGAATTGTCAGTTGGACTGTTCTGAAACAAATAGGGATTTTTGTGCTGTAAAAGTTTTGTACAACTTTTGTCAGAGCGAAGCTTAAGAAAACATTCTATTCTGTGAAGCACTTTGAGATGTCTAGAAGACGTGAAAAGCCCTATATCAAATGCAATGATTATTATTATTATAGACACCTACTCTGTACTATAATGTTTCGGCCTTTGAATGGGAGAAGTGGGGTGTGGAGAGAACATGAGAACTTATAAAGCATGTAATGTTGAACTTTTAGATCCTATATCTTTATTATGTAACCCTCTTTTAAAGTAAGAAAACACCTTTGTTATAACAATCCTTTAGGAATTTTGAATTCTCTCAGGTTTACCGTAGAAATTAATGTCTAAAAATGAGCTAGTTTGGAGGATGGACCTTAATTTCAGAGGCTTAAAGCACATGGCTTGTTACTTCATAGTAAGAAAGCTACTTACAAAATATTGGAAGTTTTGGAACAAGATATTTGAACTATCATTTTAAATTTAGCATAGTTTTACGAAAATTATATCTGTCTTATCATCAAAGGCAATTGCTAGATTTTTCTGGTTTGGATAATTGGTTCATGGAGTATAGTCATTTCCTTTTATGAATTATCAAGAATTTCCACACAAACGATGACTTGCGTGTTTACTTGTATTGGCTGTTGCTATTTGATCCAAACATTGGCAGATAGGATGAAATTGCTGTTAAAAGACAAATACTTTGAGGGGTTTCCTCTTACTGAGTGAAGTAACATATCCTGTAGCTGCATCGTCTACTCTAAATAAAAATAATTCATTCATGTTATGCTGGCATTGATATTAATTTGAAATTTCAGATATTCATTTTCAATTTTTTTAGAGATCAAGAACATTTAAAATTGTGTTGCATATCAGAACACGAAACAAAAGCTACCCTTTTAGAAACATTGACATCTAATGTGGCATGTGGACTTGTTGGGTGATTACATCAATGATCGTTGCTGATTTGTGCCCTGTGGTGGAAATGATGTGGGAGCTATGTTTATTCATAACTTGTTGGTATCATTTACAATCTCTTCTAATGGCGTTTTCTCTACACGTTTGTTTCCTGTTTATAACACCTTTACTTATGCCAATTTGAGATGCCCTTTATTGTGTGCTGCATAAATTGTTTAGTTTAATCTCGAAATAATGTGCAAAAGNTTTTTTTATTGCTATCAGTCGACCTTCTCTCAGTTGACACCTTCAAGTACAGACTCTATTCTGTTGTGCACCCTTTGTCATTGGGCTTTCATTTGTTTGAGATTCTGAGGTACTTTGAAAGTGATTTTAAATATTTAACAACAGTATGATGTGACAGAAAAGCGTAATCTCAGGACAGCAAGAAAAATGTAAGGAAAAAAATTCTCTTCTGATCATGAGGCACTGTAGAAGGAAAGTAATCTAGCCTGAGAAGCTGGTGAAGTAGGTTTGAAGCATTTTGGTCCCCAGTGGGCACTTGAGCCATATGATGGATTGCTCTGTCTATGACTTAGACTGCTTAAAGATGAGTTGTTCTCAGTTCCGTGATTTTTTTTGGGTGCTTTCCAGTAAGTCTAGTGCAAAATGGAGGTTCAGAATATCCAAGAATGTAGCGCGCTGACATGTGTAATCGCTGTCAACCTGACCATGCCGACTTGAGCGCTTGCTGCTACACTGCTCGTTGGATGTGCCTCACTTATTTCAAAAATCGCTTTGAATGGTGGACTGAGTTAAAGGGCACGAAGGTGGAATCTCTTGAAATTGTGTACAAGGTTTCACAGTTTTTCTTGTGATGCTTTTTTAAAAAAAATCAAAACATGGCTACTTTATGGATTTTTGAAAAAAAATAGGAGGGCTTCATTCCAGGTTTGCAGCACATCTAATTTAGGTTTCATTTGGGAGATCAGCTGAGGAAGGTTCTTTGCCAGATAACATCCTATTTGTGTTAATGAATGGTGGTCACCGCCCTCTTGTATGATCAACGGCTGATAATGAACGTCTAAAAGATTTTGATAAAGGGCTTGAGGAGCACCATCTCCATGCTGTCTTCATTGCATATCATTTGTCAATTTCAACAAATTATTTGCTGCAGATGCAGCCAGGAACATCCATTCCTTTGTGTCTGCATTTAACGGCACCATTTAAGCTATATTTCAGAGCCAATGTTTTTTTTGTGCTACACCTTAAATGAGATAAAATAATCTCCATTCTGCAGTGGTTCAAAAGAATTGTTATATTTCTGCTATTATCTTGTCTTATAAGCGGTTGCTTTGCTTTGTTCTTGCTTTGAGGTTCTTTCCCTCCTAATTTAAACCAGAACCAAGCAATCTGTAGAGTGCAACTGGCAGCTGCTTAGTGTTGGAATGGAGCAAAAATTTTAGTTCCCTTGTAGATTCTCCTCTCTCCATACCAAACCCCCCCCCCCCCCCCCGGCCAAAAAAACACACACAACCTGGAGAACGTAAATGGAAAATTCCTGTGAAACCATATATTTAATGTACTTGGATTCTTTATGTTAAAAAGGGGAAATTCCAGGTGAGCATCTGGCATGGATTTTTTTCCACGTGTGTAGTCTTAGTTAACTCAAGGAAAGAGAAAAAATCCTTCTGCTACTTAACCCTTTGTCTACATTGGTGTGCTTTTTCTGCCAGCAATGGACAGCAACCAGCACTGCCACAAAGCAAGAGTTTCAGAACGGGTACTCAAAGGAAAGAGTTAAAAGAAGGTGGGCTAGAAGTAAAAAGAACAGTGATTAGGGAGATCCATTATAAATATATGGCTGCTTCTCTGCATCATGTGTATGCACTAATCTGAAATCCAATACACACTGTGCAGTGCCTCCAGATAAAGGCTATTGATTGGAGAGACTTTCCTCAGAAGTTCTCATCATAATGCAGCACTAGGTTTTCAATACTAATGCAGAAGTGAATGTAGGTAAAGTCAGTGTGATTTTAAATGAGTTATTTCCTTATAGTCTAGATGTTCCTAGAAGGTTCATGTAAAATTGATGCTGGATCTCTTTCAAATATTAGGTGGTACACTAATGAAATCCACAGTTGAAAGGAACTTGATGTGGGGGGAAAAAAGCATTGCTTTGTTGCAGTAAACATCTCAAATCGCAACTGGTAAGATTGATCATTGGATTAAAGCAAGAATCTGGCTGGAGCTGGTACAAAAGTTAATTTGCTGTTTCTGAATGAATTAGATTAGGAGGCCCCAAAATTTCTCCTAGTCTTAGCTTTAAGACCATTTTGCCCTACAATTTAAGATCGTGCAGATTTGCAGAAAATTCTAAAATTAATTTGTGATTTTGGAACTCCAGTGTTTTTAGGAATTGGGAAAAACGGTTTCCAAATTGGAGCTTTTGCACAATTTTGTGTGACCTTGAATTTTAGGACAAAATGATCTTACAAGCTAAATCTAGGTTGAATTTCAGGCCTGGGATGTGCAGACAGTAATTTGAGTTGTATCTTAAATGAATGCACTACACCATAGGAATCTCTGAGGTATCGCAAGAAATAAGGAACTGTCAAGTCTTCTCAAACTGGATTCCACACTGCTGGACCAGTGCCAGAGAAACCTGTTGGATTTTTGTTTCATGCAACTCGAACAAAGTTCAACTTTGAAGCTTTGTCCCTGGTTGTGTCATCTGCTTTGCCCCCATCTTGCTGAATAACTCAGAGCTATAAGGACTGACTTGCTCAAATATGAACCCTTTTTTTCAGATCTCCAATTGCTCTTAGATGTGCTGTAGAAGGTAGGAAGTCTAATCTGCCGTCGTGTCTTTTTTAGTATTAGCTGATCCCTTTGTCCTTGTATGAGCTCTGCAGCAGCTGGGCTTTTAAAGGAAATATGGAATTGATGATTGATGTTACTGGTTTACGATTATAGTGGCAGAAGTAAGATACAGTATTTGGATAATCTACTGTGATTTACATTTTTTCCAATTTTTGCAGAAAACGCATTTGTGTTGTGACCTTTCCGGATGGGCTGTGTATTTGAGATGGTGACAAACAAGCTCAAAGGGATCTGAAAAGCAAAGTGGTGGCTGTGTTTCTCTGCTTTAAGAAGATCTGTATTTGGAGAGTTGCAAAATGGGGCCTCTGATCTGCAAAGCTAGGCTAGCCTGCTGCCAGAGTTGTGACGCAGGAGATAAAACTGTTGGGCAGGCAGCAGCTGGGGGGTGGTTCCACATAGAAGGATGTAGTGTCTACATGAAGAAGTTGACTTGGCAGAAAGCAGGCAGCCATTTCATCTCAGTAGATTATAGTTGAGCTTCTGTTTGGTCGTAGAGGCTTCAAACCAGCAGGAAGCTGTTCAGATCTGCAGGGTACTTCACAGCAGTCATTGATTGCTGAACTTGCACTCATTTTTTGCATCTACAGAAATAATTCGTTTTAATGTCTATATGCAAAGCAGCTCAGATTTTACTAAAGTTTTAATTTGTGAAAGGACCACTTTTACTTTTTGTTCTCTTTTTTCCCTTTTCTTATCTCCTTTCTAATGCATTTCCTTCAGTTGCATTGGCTCTCTGGTTTGCAAAATGATCCAGAACAATGTACTGGGCAGTTATTAAACTTCATTGAACAGTTCGGTAAAAACACATGGTGCTTGAAAATCTAGTATCAATTGTGTGTATGAAAGATCTGCTCAAATACTGTCTCTTTTTTTAGTAACTCTTACTAGTAATTTCTTACCACCTCTGAAATGCAAACAAATCTGAATGACAAACTTAAAAACTTGGTGGTACACATGCAGTGAAAGCAGTTGTGGCAGCATTCCTTGCAGCTAAAAAGAAGTGAATTGGAATGAAAACATGATGGTTAAGCAGTTGGCATGAGATGCAGTTTGACTGGCAATTTGGAGACAAATATAAAAAGATCTTCTCAGAGCAGGAGGGAGTGGAGCAGAATTGACAAAAGGGAATAAATTAAGTTTCTTATCATTAGATCCCATATTTTATCTAACAAGGTTTCTGGGTAAATTGTTCAAAGTTCAGATGCTGATAATTTGCATTCGGCAGAGTAATGTATTCATCTTCACAAACCTGTTTGAAATGCAGAGTGCATATGGCTAGATATTCAGTCAGCTAATAGATCGAGTGCTGAGTAGGACATTTTATCTACACTGTGAAAAGGAACTGCATGATATTGTCAAACCAACACTAATCCTTCTGATAGAAGAGGTAGCCTTTGTTTATAAACATTCTGTAGCACTTGCTATATCGTAATTGGCAGTGTTAGGACTATATGTTTAAGGTTATGTGTACGTATTCCTAATTTACTATATACCAATTTGTTTTTGCTAATTTTGACGTTTTGCTGTTTAACTCCCGAGCTTCATCTAGATTGTCAGCAGTTATGGTTCCTCATCACAAGGTCTGACACATCTACTAATTCAACTAGTATTTGCCACTTTTTTCTGTGAATAAATGACACCAAAGAAAATGATGGACCATTGTACAGATCTTTGTATTATAACTAGATCTTGTCTGATAGGACAATGGACACTGTAATTCTGGTATCATCTTATTTTAACTCCCGTGATTTAATTCCCAGTTTTTCAATACTTTTAGGCACTGAGCACACGTCTTGGCTGACACTTCAGGGCTGCACTGAAAAAGAGCTTCATCCTTCAGTGCTATTTTTCAGGTGAGATGTTAAAACCAAGTTCCCATCTGCCTGTTCAAATGCACTTTGAAGGTCCCATGCCAACATTCAAAATGAGAAGGGAGTTTCTTCTGGTGCCCTGGCCAAAAATCCTCTACATTAAATGGTCATTCACTTGCTGGCTGTTTGTAGGACATTGCTTATGCAAATGACCGTTGCCTTTGTTTACAAATAACACTCGAAAAGCAATCATTTGTGAAGCATTTTGAAAATGCTATCAAATAAAATGCAAGTTCTTTTTCTCTGATTTATGCATCACCTATTTCTATAGAACAAAATAGAGTTGTACAAGATTTGTATGTTTTGGTGTTAGTCTTTTCTTGCTTTCAAGATGAATAATACTTAAGTTTGACAAAAATGCCTTATCATGTTGTCGAAATGTCTCAACGCACTTCACAGTATTTGCTATGAAGTGAAGTGACTGTGTTTGTAGGCAAACGTGGCAATGTATTTGTAGGCAATTTACGCGCAACAGTGGTCCATAAATGCCTAGGAGGTAAATGATCAATGTTATCTGGGTGGGGGAGAGTGGAGGAACTGTTGGTCATATAAGATAGAAACTGCCTCCTTCCCCACCCGCCCCCCCCCCCACACACACACACACACATACAACTGAATCATAATACCCCAGACTGGGCTAACCTTGGGTCTAACCTACAGGATTTCTTAAGGGGATTCCTTAGTGAGGAATCATTGTCGCCCAATTGGGAACTTCATCCAGTAACCGGAAGTACATCACACCATGGGAACTCCCCCTGATGTAATCTACATTCAGGATGGAATTTCAGTGGACATTCCAACTGGATTGCTCATTGGAAATCTTGTTTTAAAAATGAGTTCGATCCCCTTTATTCTTTCATAGCAACTTTCACCAAAATGTATTATGTCTGAATACTGTCGGCACTCCTTTTATTTCCCGCTTCTCGCCTTTGGAAATTGGCTGTTTAATGAAACCGCAGAGCAGGGTTACATTTTTTATCCTTAACTTTTTTTGTGAAGCACAGATTCGCTGCATTTGAAGGAACATTCGCATAAACGTGCTGCACCAAAGCTCACTGAGAAATCGGACATAATTCGGAAGCATGGCTACAGACTTCCTCTGATTTTTGACAAAGGTGGCGGCTGCTCAGATAGCTGTTAAACGTAAGTGATGTGTTCCACTTTTCCCTGTTTATTGCAACATGTGTTTTCTGTCAAAATTTGNAAAAAAATGTAACGATGAACAAATCAAGTTAATGACAGTTAACTTATCACCAAAAACTTGTGATTCCACTCTGTTCATTAGCACCGGTTTCAAAAAATAGTATAGGTGTTTGCTTGGAGGTTGTTGCAAAGTGTGGAGGGGGAGGGTAAGGGATATCACAATTATAGGGATGAGGTGAAGCAATTTAAACTGTACATTTATAAAACAATACAGAATTGTGAAGATAAAGTCCCATCTCTAAAACAATTCTAAATGTCGTCTATACAGTTTCATTCTGTCAGTACCTATTGATTCATAACCTAGTATATCCAAGAGGTACTAAATCCCATTAATGAAATTCTTTCCTTTGATTGGTTGTTTTCTTTGCTCTTCTCTTCAATTGCTTTGAATTTTTTAATTTCATATTAGGACCACAGGAAAACAGGAACAGAACGAGGCATTCAGCCCATCCAGCTTGTTTCACCAGTTATTAGATCTTGGCAGATCTTTAAACCAAACAATACCTCACCCTTTTGCCATATCTCTAATACCTCTACTTCCCAAGTAAAGAAATACTGCCTATCTCTCTGTCAAGCATCCCTATTGGAACATAACAGTTTCTATTGGGCTACTTGGGATTTGTTGCACCTCATTTGCAAATTAAAGACCTTTTGAATTCAAACCCTATTACCCACTGTCGCAGCCAGATGGAACTGTGCTTTGATTACTGTATTTAAAAATTGGAATGCAAAATAGTTTTTTTTAAACTCCCTTTGAAACTCACAGTCTGGAAATATTGGCTGGGTGCTGAGCAGTGTGATGTGTGCACGTGCGGCAATATTGCTACTACTTGTGATGCAGGATACAAGCGCTTGAGGCATATCAATGGCGGATAAAGGGAGAGTGTTCCTGTGTGTTTTTTTTAAAAAAGCTGTTGAACAGCACTTTGTGAATTTAAAGTTTGTTACCGATAAAAATAATAATAATCCTTGCATTTGAAATAGCGCTTTTCACGTCGGGAGGACGTCCCAAAGCGCTTCACAGAACACACTGTAAAGTGAATTGACTGTATATTTGTGGGCGAACGCGGCAGCCAATTGTGCACAGCAATGTCCCACAAACAGTCGTAGATTGAAAATGACCAATTTATTATTTTTTTTTGGTTTTGGAGGGATTATTATTAGGCTCTGTGTGGAGTAAGGAAACTTGCCCAAGGTTTCGCCCTCTGCCTGGAATTGAACTCAGGTCTCTCACTTGTAAAGCGAGTGCTCTAACCACTGAGCTACAGGACTCCACAAATGATAGGAATTTCTTCTCTCTCCTCCTCACTCATTTCATTTTCATTTTGCCAGGACAGGAGATCAAAAACTTATTACAGTCGATTGTTAGATTGTAACAATACCCTTTAGATTGGTGATTTTAAGACTTACTGATCTCTTTTGAAATGTGTTCTTGCCTACTTTGGGAAAATCGAATAGCAGAGTTCCTGTATTTTATCAAGTTGTAACCTGCTTCATCGAGTTTTCTTTCTTAGCCTGAAGGTAATGTTAAGTTTGATAAATGGACATTTGGGTTTGCCAAGTTCAGTAGCCTTCATATACGTTTCACAGAGCTTTGGCAAATGCAATCTCTATCTGAGTTTGTTTTTCTCACCGAGCTTCTCCTTAAAGTTGTTTAATTCCTTATACCTTCCACTGAGATAGTTTCATGGCTACTGACTGCTTTTATCTACCTTCTACTAGTGATCATAAGTCATGCGTGAGCTTTCAACGTCAGCCTCAGCATTTTATTTAGTTGTGGAAGGAGGTTGGGAGAGAAAATCTCAACCAAGCGCAACACTATATACTCCCAGAATGGGTTGTTGATATCAGGAATGGGTATCCAGTTGTAGTGGCCCTAGCACCGTCCTAGCTGATATCAACTAACTTAGCACATGCCAGGGAATTAACCTATGACCTTCTCTGCCTGTATGGTGCAGCTGTGTACTGGATAAACTTGCTGAAGCATATTTAAGTACCCACATCTTCTGAATTGCAGTGATTTGTCCAAGGTGCCATCAAGCTTCTGTACCTGTGCAATAACTGACATTTGCAAAATGCAGAAGGGCTTCAGGCTTAGATCGCTAGTGGAACAGTATAGCGCATTGCGTCCCAAGTTCTCGGAGGAAATGCGTTATTTTTTGTGTAACCAATGTATCGATGATCGATTCTTTATATTAATTATATAAGTAAATTGTGAAAGAATTGGTATGGGTGATGGATCAATCTCCATTTCATGTGTTGCTTTCTCGTCTTTGCTGCCATGGCAATTTTAACTGACGTAATTCTTGGAACTATAGATTTCATGATTCTCTTGAGTAAACCCTATATTTTAAGCATATGCAGCTAAATTCCTTTCAAATTCTCTCAAGCGAGCAACTTGTTAGCGGAGACACTGGAGAGGAAGCGTTGCCTTGCTACAGTCGTAGGATTGAGCCACTGTCCTGGCCACCTGTACGCACAATATATTTTCAACAGTGAGTCATCTGGACTGGTAGATGTGGGTAGGACATCTGCAGTTGGTGAAGAGAAATTGACATTGAGGTTCAAATTGCCGCCTTTGTTGACCTAAGGAGGACGTTTGGATTAGAAGCGTGTATTGGCTGCAGCTGTACGGTGTCCTTCTCTGTGACTCAAGGGTCATACTGTATAGTAGGAAAGTGAGTGGCTGTGAAAGGAAATGCATAATAATAATACAATGCCTTTGTTCCCAAGAGTAGTCCAAGTCATGGTAGTTATTTGCATTCTGCATAGTGCAGTGTCTCACTGCCACTCATCTGTATGCTGTTCCTGTTTCACAACATCTCAAGCCTGTGAGCACAGACAATACGCCATCTCTTTGTGCCGTTTGAATCTCTAAACCGTGAATGCATGTGAAGGTCCATTGTCGCGCTGTACCAGCTGACTCTGCACCTCAACAACAGCACTGATGCTTTGTGCCATAGGTTTCTATGGGGGTAGGGATCCTTGCATGATGTGCAATCCTTCCACTGGCAATCACATTATGTCCTTCCATAGTTAAAAGTACAGCATGTCAAAGTAATGGCTGATTTCACTGCAAATACCAGAACTGTATTACCATTGAGGTATGTTGTTCATTGGTTTCAGACTCATGCTTGCAAAACAGTTTTGGAGTTTTCATTACATTGCATTGCACACTGTGTTGAAGACATCTGCAGATTTATATTTCATTTATTTTATGATCGCTGCAATATTTTATGAAGTGTTTTATTTTAAAATTCCCTATTTGATGTGAATTTGACTGGGAACAAAGCGTAAAAGGGAATTACTGGTAAAATGCTTCTGCTGACTGGTTGTAAATGACTGGTTGTAAATGGGATACGTTAATGGAAGGACAAGCTTCATTGGAGTGGGTAACAAATAGAAGTTTGGAGAAACTGAGAGGCAAAGACCAACATGGATATTTTACCTTAGCATGGAGCAGTGCTAACTATAAATACTGAGCTGCAAAAGGTACAGTCACAGTAATTTTCAGCAGTAGATTTAATCCAACATTTGGGTTTCCAACCATATAACAAAAATATTGCAAAACTTCTCCATGATCCTGCGTATAGCTCTAGCGTAAATTCTGAGTTTTGTCAAAATTAAATGGATGTATTTACAATGACCTAAGCCCAAAACACTTTGTGATATGCAAATGCATTTTATGATGTCTGTTTAGGGAGAAATCTCAATCCTAACCCCTGTACAAATGGGGAATAGAAAGGAATCAACTTGTTTCATGAGTGAATGCATTTTACTCCTGGTTTAAAATGTATTCTATTGTGCTGATGTTTTAAAGATTTGTGGAGTAGTAGATATACACTTAGGAAATAAGAATATTAAGCGATGTGAAAAAGGTGGGGAAATTGGATTAAAAGGTCTACTGGGATCTGCAGCAACAACAACAACTTGCATTTACATAGTGTCTTTCACATAAGGCATTATCTCACTTAAGATCTACAAAAATGGTGGACCTAGGGGCTCAATGGACTGAATGTCCTGCTCTTTTCTTAAGTTACCATGTTGTGTACTCGCAGAGTAACTAAGGCAAAAACTGGGGCAAAGTGATGCATCGCCATAGAATAATGTAACCATCACATGATCAGAGGCCAGATTACCATTGAAAAATATAATTGAGAATAAAAGATTAGGTTATGCTGGATAAATACTGTTTTATGTAGAATTTGTAAGGATGGTTTTCAGGTGCTGAGAAGAATCCACAATGGTCAGGATAGATTTATAAAACGAGCCTGGCAATGTCAGAGATCTCACAATGACAATTGCATAATTTAGTGGTTTGCAGAGGCACTTTCAGAAGAGCATTAAGCAGACCTTGGTTTCAGTTACTGTTGTGGAATCATGCAAAAGATTGTGAGGGAGGGAGGGAGGGGTGGGTGGGTTGAGCTGCTGAAGAATTTTCCAAGAACCAAACGTTCTTTGCAGCCGATTCCACATGAACCATTTGCAGAGCCTGTCAGTCCAGTCAAGTGACTGGTCAATCACTGCCGGACATTTTGTAAGAGGTTTGCATTCACTTAGGCTGTTGGATCTCACGGACAAAGGTGCTTGTGCAGTGAATTGAAATGTGAATCCCATGTCAACATTTATCTGGGAAAGGATAGATAGTCAGACAGATCTAACTTGTAATTTGAAGTTGTATTTTTATAACTCTTTTGCATCAAAATATAGTTGCAATATTTATTGACAAGTGCAATGACTTGCATCTTTGAGGTCAAAAGATGAAGCATCTGTCCCCTGCAGGTTCAGACCTCAGCCAGGCAGCATTAGGGGTTCTGAATATCCCTGCATCAGCAATATTGGTTTGATGTTTTGGGTTTCTCTGGTCCAGCCTTTGGATTGGCAACTCCTGGTGAGATGCTGTTGTCAACCCTAAATGATATAATAATCCTTGCATTTGA